TCCATGTGATGGATATCCCATTCCTTCATCAACACCCGATTTTTGCTCGGTCCCCTCTGTAACCCACTCCTTACACTCCAAATGTCCAATCAAACCCTACAATTCTCTCTAGAATATCTCAAAACCCTAAAAGACCAAATTTCGATTAAAACACCCTCAAATTCATTGTTAAAACTACATATTCCCTTCTAACAACTACAATTGTGCCCCATCACCACACCTATCACATGATTAGACCCCATCATATGAAACAAAACCTATAAACATCCAATCACAACAAATTTCTGCCATAAATTCCTTGGTTTTTCCATCCATTCATTGAAGATTCCATTTTGAGGAACTAGATACAACAACCAAAACCCACAATCCAAATACCCTGGACATGATCAAAACTTTCATCAACCTCCCGATCGATCATCCATCAAATTTCAAATCTCAAAATGACCATTTCACCATTCATTTAAAAAGATTCCAAATAAATATTCTTATTGGTGAACACTCTCTAAATTTAAGATATTCGTCGTAACATAAAATCCAACACCTCCAAACCTATCAAAACCTCCATCAAACCCCCCGATCACCCATCCACAAAATTTTAGGCATAAAATCCCCATTTTATCCCTCTCATAAAAAAGATTTCAATTTGAGCCCTCTCATCACTCGCTACTCCCAAAATCAAAGATCTACATCATGACACTTCTTCCAAGGCCCCTAAACCTTACCAAAATCTTCCTTAACCTTCTAACCACCCATCCACCAAATGTCAGACCTAAAACTCCCATTCTGCTTCTTCTATGGAAAAGATTCCGATTTGAGCCATTCCATTAGCTGAACCACCTGCACTTCAAATTCCTCGATTCGAATACATTTGAACCAATCAAATCTTATCAATTCATCAAGACATTCAGAAATCCGATCCTACAAATCTTTAACTCAAAATTCCTCAATTTGCCCATGCATTCATCGAATACCAATGCTGTTAATCATGGATATTTGCGAGCCATTCCTCATGTTATCCATGGAATACCAATGCTTTAACCAATCGATTAATGACCAATCAGGGTCAAAAGGAATACCAATGTTTTAGCAAAAATGATTGGAATAGAAAAAAACAGAAATTTGCCCTTTTATATTTTAAGGTAATACGAAAATAGTAGATATATAATTAATCAATATCCTAACGTTTTAAGAAATTTGCCCTTCATATTTTAGATTTTATTTGATATGTCATTTATTCTTTTCGAACGTTTTATGCATTATTTGGATGGTCAAATCAATGAATTGATTGTTCTTAGGAGTTGGGAGATTTGGACGAGCCATATTAGTAGAAATCTTGATTACATCACTTGAATGGTTGAGACTTGAGATTGATCTTAAGAAACCACTTTAATGGTCTATATTTTGGATTGATTTGGTACATCGATTRCATAAATCTAAATTTGGTATCACTCGACTAGTTTTGACCTAGAGTCGGATGAGTCGAGCCTTTGACTCGACTCGGTAGCTTGCCGAGTTTTCCGAGTTTACTGGCTATGAAACATTGAAAYGGTGACTGGTGAGTGTGAGTCGAGATGACTGGAATTGGATATGGATACATCACACATAGCAAGTTCTTAGTTCTGGGTTATGGCCTAAAACCATACCAAGAGTCTGCAGCCTCTAGATTCTTTCCTTCGTATTTGCGATACAAATTTGAAGAGATATTGGATGCAAGACCAGCGCCATAAACCCAGTAAGTCTTGGCAGTTCTAAGTTTCAAAGTGGTTCGAGACGAGGAAACCGGGAAATGTTGCACTGAAGATTGTAGACAAATGGATCACTCTTCCTAACCTGTGTACCATCCATTGCTTAATAAGTTAATAAGGTCAAGGTCAGAAGTCTTGATGGTCATTCTTCTGCTTTTTCTGTGGTTCTTGTTGATCAGAACATGATATTCTTTTGTAGGAATTCTTCAAAATCTGTCCTTTTTTGTGCGTCGCATTGATTTCAACTGAGAATAAGATAATCTTTCCTGGGTGTCTTCCAAATCTATCAATTATGTATTTTCAGTCGGTTTTCAATGTGAAATATGAAGGTATTATTTGGGTATGTTTCAAAACCTGTCTTTCCTATGATTCTCATTGGTTTCCAGGTGAGCAATGTGAATGCATTTCCAAGGAATCTTCAAACTGGTTATTCTTTCTGGAATTTATTCCGAAAACGAAGGAATTTAGTCAATTGCTCTTCTACGAATGAAACCAAAACTGATTTTTTTTTTTCATTTTTTTTTCTACTAGAATAACTATCATCATTGAAAGTTTCAGTAACCATATTTGATGCTCTACAGTTCATTCAAGCTGTTTTGCAATTCATTACCCTTTTAGGCAAATGAATGAAGATATAGCCTATTCATTCATCAGTTTGCTAAATTGGTTTGCAATTTGATGATTTCTTGCCCTTGTCGTCCATGTGTGCAGCTTTTAGCTTTGCAGAGACATCTCTTGCATTGTTTGATATCATAGAAGGATAACTGAGCACCAGGATGGCTTCGGTATTATTTAGGGGGATCCAAACCCGCCCTTTTCTCCTCTACCCTTCTGCACTTCTCTCCAGGAAAAATGGTGTTCTCTTTTGCACCACGAAATGCTCTCAAAGCCAAACTGCAACACAGGAGAACCAGCAAACTCAGATGAAAGTTTCTCCGCGTACCCATACAAAAAAAGTTGAGAAAATCCTACACGACTATGAAGCAATCATTGGTATAGAGACGCATGTCCAACTCGACACTCTCACCAAGGCCTTTTGCAGCTGTGCTTACCTCTATGGGTCTCAACCCAATACTAATGTTTGTCCTATTTGCATGGGTCTACCTGGCACTCTGCCAGTTTTGAACTCTAAGGTCATTGAGTTTGCTGTAAAAGTGGGCCTTGCACTCAACTGCAATTTGTCTATGAACTCAAAATTTGATAGGAAGCAATACTTTTATCCTGATCTTCCAAAGGGCTACCAGATATCTCAGTTTGATATCCCGATTGCTACTGGTGGGTTCATTGAATTGGATCTTCCCACTGAGTATGGAGGCGGGCATAGGAAGTTTGGAATAACCAGGGTTCATATGGAAGAAGATGCAGGGAAGTTACTTCACTCAGGAAATGGAAGTTACTCACAGGTATTGCTACTTTATCCATCCCCTTGTCCATTAATATGAAATATTATTTTAATTTTCCATTCTGTGGTTTCTAAAACATTCAAATTTCTTATTCTATTCCTTTTTCTTTTGCATATGCTATTTGATTTGGTTGATTTGATTTTCTTTCATTTCTGTTTTTCATGTCTTAGAATGGGTTATGATTTTGCATGGTTTTATTTTACTGAGGATTTTGGCAGTTGTTTATGGATTTAGTTGATCTCTTTAGGCATTTTCTTATCAAATGACTGGCATCAAACTTTTTTACTCAGTGTTTAATTAGCCATTGATCTTTTCTTACTTTTCATTTGTCCTCTATTTCTTAAAGGTGCCTGTTGCATCATGGGTTTAAATTGTGAATTTGGTGTTTCTTTTAGAAGCTTGTTAATTTTGTGAGGCCTTGCTTCAGGTTGACTTGAATAGAGCAGGTGTGCCTTTGCTTGAGATCGTTTCGGAGCCTGATATTAGAAGTGGCCTTGAGGCCGCAGAGTATGCAGCAGAGATACAGAGGTTGGTTCGATATTTGGGTGTGAGTAATGGGAATATGCAAGAAGGTTCACTCCGTTGTGATGTAAATGTCTCAGTCCGGCCTATTGGGCAACTAGAATATGGAACAAAGGTAATTAATTTCAACTTATTACATGTTAGTTGATTAGTTCTTTTTCCAAGACAACCTAGGCCAAAACAAATTATTTCTTTTTTAAAACTTGGCAAATAAATAAGCACTTCTGATTTCTCTTTTCATTCCTATGATGCTTAGATTGATGGGTGGGAGCAATAGTTTTTATCAATGCTTTGACCTTTTATTTATCCCTTCTCTCTTTTTTCTTTTCTGGGTGGCAGTGGGGTCCATAATAGAGGACAGAGAGTTTATTCTGTATCTTGCCTCATAGATTCCAGTATATTGTTGAAAATTTAGCACTCTGTGGTGGTATATGAACTCATTTTCAGCAATGAATAGGTTCCAGTATATGATTGAAAATTTGTCTGCCAATGCCTATCTTATTGTGTTTACAGGTTGAGATAAAGAATATGAACTCATTTTCAGCAATGAATAGGGCGATTGATTTTGAAATCTCCAGGCAGGTTGATCTCTACAGTAAAGGAGAGGATAACCAAATTATACAGGAAACTCGACTCTGGGAAGAAGGGGCTCAGGTTTCAATTGCTTATTTGTTCATTTTAATGTGGAACCTGTTAGGATATTCGCCTTTTGTTTTTATTTTGTTTACTTCAATCACTAATTTATGACATCTGCTTCTTGTTTAGAGAACAGTTACAATGAGGAAAAAGGAAGGGCTTGCTGATTATCGATATTTCCCAGAACCTGATCTTCCAGAAGTGGTCCTTAGTGAGGAATATGTTGATAATATTCGTGCATCTTTACTAGAGCTTCCAGAAGTGAAGCGTAGGCGATATGAAAGGATGGGTCTAAGCATGCAAGATGTCCTTTTTCTTACYAATGACATGAATGTAAGGCCTATTCCTGAACATGATGAGTACCTATTATCAAGATTTGTTTTGGAAGCTGGGGTATACCTATGGTTGCCTCTTCCCTGTATATCTTCAATCTGGATTTGTATATTTGTGTCTGTTATTACAGTGTATTAGATGCAATAGCAACTTGGTGACAGATACGTGAAGTTTTGCAACACAACTCATTCCTGTCAGATGATATTTAAATTCTTTACTCATTAATAGTTTAGTGGTTGGTTAGCCAATATGAATTGAACTGCAATAATGATCCAAAACATGTCTCAAGTCTTCACATGTAGATTTGCCTGTCTCAGGTTGCAGACTTTTTTGATGCAACAATTGAAAGGGGAGCAGAAGTGAAGATGGCTGCTAATTGGATAATGAGTGACATTGCTGCTTATTTGAATAATGAAAAGTTGTCTATAAATGAGATTAAACTTACACCACAGGAGCTGGCTGAACTAATTTCATCTATAAAAGGTGGAACAATCAGTGGGAAGATTGGGAAAGAGGTTAGCTGCTGCTCTTGGTATTCATACTACTTGTATATACTGTTTTGGACTTTACTATTACATGACCTTATGATTAGTTATCTGCATTACTTGAAGATTTTAATCTCTGATGGCTAGATAATATGTTGGGTAATCAATGGTAGTGCATAAATCTCTTAATTGTAGAAGCTTCAAGCTTGAGTCTTAGGACAAACAGGCAGCACAAACATGAAATACATCATAGCTTCAAGACAACCTTGGCTTCATGTATTCTTTACTAACTACTCGGTGCCAACAAAGAAAAATGTTTTTTTTCTACTTCATGCTTGTAACTGATGCTATCATTTTCTTATGCAGATACTCTTTGAGCTAATATCCAATGGAGGTACCGTCAAAGCACTTATAGAAGAAAAGGATCTGGTCCAGGCAAGCATCCCCACTTTATTGATTTTTATGGTAAATATAAAATTTATAAAATAAAAAGGAGAAACCATAGAAGATGAATGTGGGTTTTGTAGCTCAAAGGAGCTTAAATGGATAAACACCAAAAAAGGAGCAGAGTGAGGCAGAGAAAAAATACCTCATATGCAACATCCTACATCCTRTATTTAATCTTTCATAGAGAGAGAGAYGAGAGAGAAGAGAAGAGCGAAGAGAAGAAAAGAGAAGGGAGAGATAGATACGATTGAGAGTCTCAAAACTGTAGTTGGTGGCGCCCAGCTTGTTATTTATATTAACTTAATATAAAAGAATGAGAGGTTACAAGGATGCCCTTGGTGGCACTCCCTAGTAACAAGCTAATAAGAAAGAAAGAAATAAACTAGTTGACAACATGTTAGGCTGACAGCATACTAACAACAACTGTAAAATAGCAAATGAATAATCCTCACAACACTCCTGATGTGTCCGGAAGTGTGTTGTTAACCACTTCGGAACACCAGTTTTAATATTTATAAAATTTTTCCGATTCTCAAACAAATGTAAATGGGTGAGAGCGGGTCGTATCCACAGAGAAGCAAGGGAAAAACCGCTACGTACTTAGATCCGRGAAGGAGAATACAATTGGGAATTGCAGAAAATAAGAAAATAAAATTTATTAATGCTGAAATTAAAGGTTCGGAATTAAACAAGACAATAACTAAAATTCAGAAATTAACAAAGTACTAAAATTAATAAAAGAAATAAATAAAAGTAATCCAAAATTCGGATTTTATGGCGGTAGTTGCAGATTGGCCGGACAGCTTGCAGGAACCCCTCCTGACAAGATCTGGGCGTCCTTCCCCTCTTCAGCCCTCGAACCCCTCGAGACACCTTAGTATTGAACCRGACAAATTCAGATTTGCAAAACAGAGAAACGAACATGAATTAAATCTAAAAGAGTGCTGAAATAAAAATAACGGAAAAGAAAATGACGAAAAGAAAAGAATGGTTGATCAGATCCAGTGGCGGTAGTTGCAGATTGGTTGAATAGCTTGCAGTAACCCCTCTTGACAAGAATCGGGCGTCCTCCCCTTCTACAACCCTTGAACTCCTCAAAAAACCTTAGCCTTGTGAATTGGGTGAATTGACCAACCCCTTTTATAGGGCCCTTGGGGCCATTTTTATAGAGAAGGGTGGACACAATTGGGAATAGAGAGAAAGAGGGGGGCGGCAACTGGGTTTTAGAAAAGTTATGGGTGCCCTAGGGTTTTTAATGGAGGGTTAGGATGATTCTGGGGTGATCCTAGGGTTGAGAAGAAAAGAAGAGGGCGCCCAATATTATGTAGGGCTGAGATTTGAGTGCCCATAAGTGAATGGAGGAGATTGAGGCACCTAGGGTTGAAAGGTGGAGATTAAAAGAGGTGGGTGGCGCCCTAGAGTGGATGAYTGAGATCTAATGGTTAGGGGCTGAATGGTGAGGATTAGCAGTTAGGTGGCACCCTAGGGTTTAAAAACTACAAAGAGAGTGCCCTAGAATGGATGGTGGAGATTAGAAGAGGTGGAGGGTGGAGATTAAACAACTAGGGGTGGTTAGGGTTTGCTAAGGATGAAAAAAATAGGTTAAAAGGCACCCTAGGGTTTGCTAAGGAGAGGGGAGCATGCCCCTCTTTCAGCTGGACTTCACACCAGCTTCCCAAAATCTGCATTTCAGCCATGCAACTTCCTAGTTTTGCACAAAATTTGCACAAAGACACTCAGAGGTCACAACATTGAATTTAAATAGGAAAAGGGCATACTTTGACTATTCTAAGGCMGAAAATACCCCTGAAATGATGCCCTTAAGGCATCAAAATGCAGAGTTACCAACTCCCCCTCAAGTTGGGCTGAATATGTGTATCATGCCTAGCTTGTCACATAACTCATTGTGCCCCGAGTATGGAAGTCCTTTTGTGAGGACATTGTTCCTTGGAATTGACATAAGGGATGCAAATTTCCCTTTTTCTTTCAATTTTTCCCTTATGAAGTGTTTGTCCACTTCAATGTTCTTGGTCCTTTCATGTAGGATAGGACTGTTAGCGATGTTTATGGCTGCCTTGTTGTCACAGTAAAGAGACATAGGATTATGAACAGCAAATCCAAGCTCTCCTAAAAGGTTTTTTAGCCAAAGAACTTTAGCCACCCCATGTACCATAGCTCTATTATTCCACTTCAGCCCTTAACCTGCTACCACACTTTGTTTCTTGCTTTTCCAGGTCACTAGGTTTCCTCCCACAAATGTGCAATACCCACTTGTGGACTTTCTGCCATCCACAACACCTGCTTAATCAACATTTGTAAAGACTTCCACCTTTAGATGATTATGCTTACTGAATAGTAGACTTGTTCCTGGATACTTTTTTAAGTATCTAAGAACTCTYTCTGCTACCTCCATGTGTGGTTTTATAGGAGAGTGCATGAATTGTCTTAGGACCCCAACTGAATAGGCAATGTCTGGACGGGTCATGGACAAATAAATTAACTTTCCCACTAACCTTTGGATCTGTTTCATATCTTTTAGAGGTTCACCATCAGAGTCACCCAATTTATGATCAACATCTATGGGAGTATCTGTTGGCCTTGCGCCYAACTTACCTGTGTCTTGTAACAGATCAAGGGTGTATTTCCTTTGAGAAATGAAGATGCCCCTTTTTGAGCGGGCGACTTCAATTCCTAGAAAATACTTTTGGGGACCTAGATCCTTCACTTTAAATTTAGATGCAAGGAATTGTTTCAACTTTTGTATTTTTGAACTCCAATTTCTTGTAATGATGATATCATCCACATACACTATCAATACAACAACCTGTTCCTGACATTTCTTCACAAAGAGTGTGATCAGACTAACATTGCTTGAACCCTATTTGCTGAACTGCCATGTGAAACTTACTGAACCAAGCACTGGGAGATTGTTTTAAATCATAAAGAGACTTTCTCAGCTTGCACACCTTATTTTCACTTCCCTTGGCATAAAATCCAAGGGGTTGAACCATGTACACCTCCTCTTCTAGGTCACCATTTAAAAAGGCATTCTTTATGTCTAATTAATGCAATTCCCAGTCAAGGTTAGCAGCTAATGGCAGAAGGACTCTAATTGAGTTCATCTTAGCTACTGGAGCAAAAGTCTCATCATAGTCAACCCTGTACACTTGAGTGTACGCCTTGGCTACTAATCTTGCTTTGTACCTTTCAACTGTCCCGTCCGCCTTGTGTTTAACTGTAAACACCCACTTGCACCCCACTGGGTCTTCCCCCTTGGAAGATCTACCAATTCCCAAGTTTGATTTTTATGGAGGGCATTAATCTCCTCCTTCATGGCATCTGTCCATTTAGGGCATTTTAAGGCTTCTACAACATTTTTGGGTATAGGGATGCAATCGATTGCAGATAGGAAGGCTCGGTATGAGGGGGAAATGTGATCATGGGAGACATACTGGGTAATGGGGTGTTTGGTAGTGCATGACCTGACTCCCTTTCTTTGAGCAATAGGAATGGCAAGATCATCCACAGTAGGAGTAGGGGTATCAATAGGTGCAATAGCGTTTAGACTTACCTTTTGGGAGTCTATGGTGTTGGTTGCTCAATGTTTGGCTGCTCCAAATCTCTGTCACATTGCTGATCTCTACGGCGTGTACGTTGGAAGACACGAAAGGGGGCAAGGTCCGGAATAGAAGGAAGAGAGACTTGGCAAACCTGAACCTGCTTCTCTTCCACACTACTCTCCCCCTAAGGAGAAGCAGGGAAGAACGGTTCAGACTCAAAGAATGACACATCCTTAGACACAAAAAACTTATGACTAACGGGATCAAAGCACTGGTACCCTTTTTGAGAGGAGGGATACCCCAGAAAGATACAAGGGATGGACCGAGGGTCTAACTTACACCGAGGCGGAGACAAATCATGGACAAAGGCACGAYAACCAAATACTCTCATGGGAATGGAAAATAAAGGGGACTAAGGGAACAACAACTGATGAGGGGCCATGTAGTTCAACACTTTGGAGGGCATGCGATTGATGACATAAGCAGCTATAAGTATAGCATCCATCCAAAACTTTTTTGGAACATTCATATGTAACATCATCCCTCGAGCTACCTCAAGGAGGTTTCTGTTTTTTCTTTCTACAACACCATTTTGTTGTTGTGTTTTGGCGCATGAGYTCCTATGAATAGATCCATGGGAGGCAAAGAACTCATTGAGCTCACCATGGAAATATTCTTTTACATTATCTGATTGAAAGATCTATATTTCAACATGGAATTGCGTAAACACCATCCTCTGGAAGTCTTTCACAATCTTTGGAACTTCATCTCTGCTACGCATGGGGAATACCCATGTATAGCAGGAGAAATCATCGATCAATGTGATAAAGTACTTATACCGCCCTCAAAGATTATAGTGGTAGGCCCCCATACATCAGAATACACAATATGAAAAGGAAAACTTGATCTTTTATTATTTGAATGAAAAGTTGTTCTACAYTGTTTGCTCAGCTGACATGTTTGACACTGAACATGACTTAAATAAAATCGGAAACAAAGACTTTATTATTTCAAATGAAACATGACCTAACCGACTATGCCACCCTAAAATTTGACTCATTTTTTTTTTGATCAATAACAGAATGTTTTATTAGATTATAAAAATTGTGAAACTTTGAGTACAAGAGAGGGTAGGTAAAATATCTTAATTCCCTCACAACAGAGAACAAGAAGGAAAGCTAAAAGGTGGCCCAAAACAAAGAATCCTTAAACACCCCTTGCTTGGCTAACCCATCAGCCATGGAATTAGCACTTCTCTTCACCAAACGGTACTTCACCTCAATATCTCTACTCAGCCATTTAAATTTTTTCTTTTCATTTCTGTAGCT